TGCGCGCTAACCAATTAGTTCTATTTTTTTTTTTTTTTTCAGTTCCGTCTCGCTATCGCACGTAATGAGAGTGCGATTTTATTGGAGGTCTCTTTTTGCCGCGCGAAAATACACGAGGCTGCCCTCGCTCGGCCGTAAATTACATTGTGTGCGTTTTCCACCGTCTCGGTACAATTGTTTCTTTCTTTCTTTTTTTCACGCGCTTAGCACCAGCAAACTATAATTGTTTCGCAGAGACGGCTTTGGAATTTAATTAAGGTTGCGTCACGTGTTCTAAATTCGAGTTAACAGAGTACAAGAGCTGTGTGTTTTATTAACAAAAAATATATCCATGGACACTATAACATTTTGGATTTGGGACAGTCTTCCACCACACGCGTTTCAGTAAGGGACTTTTCTGCACTGGGAGAAAAACATAATAAAAATTACTGTGCTGGAATGGTAATCTGGTAGTGTTCGGTCGTCTCAAGACTTTTTACTATTGGAACAATAATTATTAGTGTTTAGAACAGTAACTTTTGTTGTAACTACAGTGATTTTTACTGTTTGTACAATAGAAATTACTGTCCAGAATATAGTATAAATTAGGTTAGCCAAATAAAAAGTCCTTAGACTTCTCTCAGTGTGGTACGCAACTTGGAAGTTTCCGATGTAATAAAGTATTAGGTGAAATCTCGAGTGTATGGATATATTAAAATAGTATACAACGAGTAAGTCAGCTACGAGTCTCAAACAGAGCTCGATCGACTGATCATCAAATTTGTTGCGCGCGGTAGTTCCAATATGATATAGATAGGTATTTATATTCATAAGCATAAAAAAGGTACAATTTCCGATACCTATATGCACGTGTGATCTACGACCACATTTATATAAAATCTCTAAATGGAATAATTCGATCGCCGCAGGCGTATATTACGCGCTCGATTACGCGCGGGTCGAGTGGCCGGTGAACTCTGACATGTGCATACAACCCCCCTCTCACACCCTTTTTTTCTCTCGTAGTTGAATTGATCGTAGGCGTGGCCAATAGTCGCAAAAAAGTGTGTGAATGTTTGGCTCTTTTGGCCTGCTGTCACCTATATGGTACGTACACCTATACATGTAACACTACACGGGGCAATCTCGTAAATCTGGCAGACTGGCCTAGTTCGGGGTGCCAAGTTCTCAAGCCGATTCTTTTTTACCGACGTTTTTTCGGATATTTTTTTTTTGTTGTCTTTATTGAATTCATTAAAAATATTTAAACTGGCGTTTTTTCACGTGAGTTGGTGCAAATATGTTTTTGCCGGTCTGTCCCACATTTGTACACGTACAAACCCAAATCGTGTGTTTTCTCATTTCGCCAGAGTACTAGTGGACGCTGATTCGCTTTCCAAGGCAAAATTCATGCGTGACGAAAAAAAAGAAGCAATAGTAGCTCTCCGAAGCGAGACTCGACGAAAAAAAAAAAAAAAAAAAAAAAAAAGAAAGAAAAAACCGCCCAGACTTCTCCACGAAAATCAAGCTCGAGCGATTTCTCACATTTATACGCGCGCTTATACCAACATACATATTATTTTTTATTACATACATATTCCTCTACGTGTGGGAGAAAGAGAGAAAAGAAGCATCTTCTCTCGCTCGCTCTCGCGGATGCGCCGAGAGCTATTATATATATCTGCGGCGCGCACGAGAAGAGAGCGAGAAGGAGATGTGTGGCACTTTAAGGGTGTGTCGTCGGCGGCGGCTCCGCATCGCCGGAGATCTCTCGTCCGATGCTCCTGTTATCATACACACACACACACACAAAAGCGCCGCACACCCCTCGTCTGGCGTGTATTATTTTCGGGCTGGATGTATACTATATCCTACTTCTCTGCCGCTCTCACGTACATACGAATGTACAGTCTCACCGCCGGCAGGGGCACCATATTTAAATACGAGCCGCGGATTGAGATATAGAGAGCCGAAGTGAATGAACTTGGACGGGCGAAAGAGCGTCTTCCATTCAGGACGGTCTTCGAATTCCACTCTCGGCTGTGTGTGCATGTGTATATGCCCCATTGTCGTGTGTATGTAACTTTTCTTTTTCTTTTTTTGCTTGCACATTAATAATAGGTTCCCCGCGGTGGGGGCTGTAGACGCCCGCTACCCTTTTCCTCCTCAACAGGCCCACCCTCTCGGGTTCTGGGTTCCGGGTGTGTGTGTGTGTAAGGTGTACGCCATGTGGAGGAGAGAAATGGCAGCCAGCGCACGCAGAGGAGGCCGGAGAGAAAGAAGCGAAGGAGGTGATGCGCCTCTTCTCTACACCCCTTCCTCGACTGCGTCTTCTTTTTCCTCCTTTTTTTCTTTTCTTTTTTCATTCTCAATCTTCCACTTTTGACATCGACTCCCTCCCCCCCCCACGGCCCCTTTGTTTTTCTTTTAATTTTCACAAACGTCACTCCGCGAGTGCTCGCAAGCACCGGTTGGTCGGCATTTTGGAACCTTCAAAGCTTTTCCCCCGGAAAAAGCTTCGGCCATCACCGTGGTATAACACACACACACACACACACAGGTGTTGGAACAGCCGCAGAGAAGGAGCCACGAAAGAGAGAACACACACACACCGCAGGGAAGACGGAGACGCCGCCCGCGGATGGAAAACCGGAGTCGCGCACACTCACACACCCACCCGACTAATGAACTCCTTTTTTTTATCTTCACTCGCACTTTTGCAACCTTCGATCGAGGCACTTTGATGACTAAATCAAATTGGAAAAAAAAGGAGAGACCGCTCGGCGTCTCAGCGATGCAAAGAGCGTGAGTATAGAGAGAGAGGAAAAAAAAAAAAAAAAAAAAAAAAAGGAACCTTGGCACAATACAGTGCATACTCTCCCACGGAGGGAAAAAAAAAATCAGATCACAAGAGTAGTGCGCGCCCAAGTGAAACCCTACACTCCCAACACTCCACCTCTGGCATTGCTAGCTCGCCAAAACAGGTGTCATCCCCTTAAAAAAGGTTAATTCAATCCATTCCAGAGGCGCACTCCGGTATATCGATCAAAGATCTTTTNTGTTTTTTTCTTTTTCACTCAAACACTAAAAAGAGAGACACCAAATATCCAAAGTATATGGATAGATACGGTAAAAAAAAAAAAAAAAAAAAAAAAAAAGGAACCTTGGCACAATACAGTGCATACTTCTCCATCGAGGGGAAAAAAAAAATCAGATCACAAGAGTAGTGCGCGCCCAAGTGAAACCCTACACTCCCAACACTCCACCTCTGGCATTGCTAGCTCGCCAAAACAGGTGTCATCCCCTTAAAAAAGGTTAATTCAATCCATTCCAGAGGCGCACTCCGGTATATCGATCAAAGATCTTTTTTTTTTTTTTGTCCCTCGCCTTCCAATTGCCGTCACCACCACCATTGCCACTACCAGCAGGCAGAAAAAGAGTACGAAACGACAAAAGGCTCGATATTCGGCCAGTAGGTATAAATAAAACTGTTAAAGTCCCTCTCGTTGCTTGGAAAACTAACTCACTCGCGAATGTCGGTACGCACACCATCACCATCCGCAGTATCACTATCCGAGAAGCGTATAGTATATATACATATCCAGAAGAGAAGTACGATGGGAGGAGGAGGAGGAGAGGCCGGTACCGGTGGCACGTGAAACAGTCGCGTGCAGCGTGCAAGTTCCGCGCCGGCTAGCCAGATGGTGCTTGCAGTTCAGCTCGATGTGGAAAAAAAAGCACACGCACGGATCCGCAGAGATGATTGTAGTTACATGTATACGGAGGCGAGATCCCTGACACTACCCCCTCCCCTACACCTCTCGCTAATGATAACTGGATGGCGTGAGATTGTTTTCCTCGTGTTACCTAACGAAATGTCTCTCTTCGCGCGTCCACCCCCTCCCACCACGCGCCTCCTCATTTTTCTCTCTATTTTATCGTCTCGCGTACAGAGAGGAGGAAACAACCTCTCCGGTGCACCGCGAGTATACACGGTCGCAAGCTCTGCATAATAGCTTGTGTGTGGGCTTTGCTGCGCCGTTTCGAGAGAGAGAGAGAGAGAGGGATATAGCGAAGCTATGGGCATGCGCCGAGGTACCAAGCGCCCCAACCTCGAATTCGCGAGCCAACCGCGGATATTCCACACACACACACACACACTCCCACGCTGCTATGATAAAATCCATGCACATGCATGCCGGCGCCGGAGCAGGCCGGTGTGCGTGCAGTTGTACCCGTTTATCCGTATAAAACTAATTTCAAAAACGAGGAATGGAGGGAGAGCTTGCGAAACAATCGAGGAAGAGTGTCAGCGGGTAGGAACGAATGGGGGGAGGGAGGGGTTCGTATGTAAGTGCATGTATAACGAGTAGGTATACAATACACCATGGGTGGGGCAGCAGACGCCCGGCGGCAAGCTGTCAAACTACGCCGGCTCCGAGAGACACACACAAACACACTCGTGCAAGCACGTTAAATATCCCTCGCATATTATTATCCCTCTGTGGGTTGGCTTTGCACGAAAAGAGAGATGACGAGGCAAGGGGGGGGGGGGGGACTGCTGTAGCACGCGATTTTTCTCACAGAGGAAAACGTCACGAGGATTTCCGACCCGGTAAACCGGCCGCACTCGCTGCGCCTGTGGCACGCATGTAAGGTAACGGACGGTAAGTAGACGTGATAGATAAAAATACGCCACGGGCATAGAGCAGATATCAAAAATGTATGTACGATGTATAGGTATATATAGCAGGAGCGCCAGCGGTAGTAGTACAAGCGATACCGTGGAACGGCGGACAGGTTATGAGTATGCGCTGACGGGGCACGGGGGTACAGGGGGAATCCCCGAGTTATATGCGTGTACGTCGATTTTCGGAGCACTGTATAAATATTATGAGAAGGGATGCCGCGAGCGGGTACAAAGGGTGGATTGTTTTTCCTTCCAATGAGAGAGGAGAGAAAAAAGAAGAAGAAAAAAAAAAAGGTGTACATACGTATAGCGTTACGATATATATACTCACCATCATTTTGTAATTGAGCTTCCTCGGTGGGCCCACGTTCTCCATTCGCACCGACATCCTAGCGGCGTGCTCGTGTTACACGCAATGCACGGGCGGCCAAGTCGGGCCGCAAGCGCGCAAGAGACAAACGAAAGCTTGAGAGCCTCTGGGCGAGAGAGAGAGAGAGAGATGTGGTTCGTCTCTCACTCTACTCGTATATACACAGAGGGAGCGTGTGCGCGCGCTCTCCACCGAGCATAAGCTAAAGTGTAATATGTACAAATGTGTACGTGTGGGTATACGAGAGTTAGTATTTATGTAGAATGTGTGTGAAGGAGGAGGCGAAAGCAAGCTCTTCCCGTGTGCACGGCGAAGAAATTTGCCGCTCGGCGGCGGCGGCAGCACCACCAGCAGCAGTAGTGCTGCTATTCCTCCACCTTTTTCCTCCTCCTCTTCTTCTTCTTCTTCTTCTCCTCCTGCTCCTCCTCTTGCGGGTGTATACAAAACTCCAACTTTTTCGGAGCAGCTGCCGCACCGGTAGTTCTTCCTCTTCTTGGTCTTCGAGAGTGCCTGAATCCTCCCGAGGATTCGCTCCGGGTCGACGGCGATGGGCTTGCCTCTGCCGTGGTGCTCGGGCGCGCCAGCGGCCACCGATGGTCACTAACTACTCCGCCGACGGCAACTCTGCTTCAACTCCGAGAGTCTCTGTTTTCCGTCGGGAAGAGAGAAAAGAAGAAAAGAAAAAAACGAGACATTAAACCTGATGATTTGCTTCGACCGTCGAGTCGGCGATCGGAGCTTTTTTGGTGGATTGGGCCGGGTAATTTGGGAGTCGAAGGAATATTCAAGTAAAGTCGATCAACAAATATCTATAACATTAGAGGGACCGACAATGGGAGTTGTACTGGAATAAAAAAAAGAAAGGATATAACGTTGCTCCTTTTTGTTCCGCAGTTTAACACTTTCACCCCCGGTACACTTTTGCGCACACGCCTTTATGTATATATGTATAACCATACACAACCCCACGTATGTTCCACACTGTTGCCGGTGTTTTTCCCTTATCGAACCGTCACTTGATCAACACTCGCTTTTTTTTTTTTTTTTTTTTTTTTTCTTTCACTGATCTACCACCACTGTAGCATATGTATATAGCCATGCACACGTCCGCCCCGGGATCGCTCTCGCGCACGTATGAGAGAACCCGGCGACTCACGCACACCTGCCCGCTCGCAATGCACACACATAGGTGGTGGATACATGCACCGGTGCCGGTGGAGGGATACACCTATATAACATACGTGGATCAGATCACCGGCACACATAATCATACATACATACATACATACACGCGGGGCACCTCGTTTTCTCGCACTTTCTATTAAATACACTTTCTTCTCGAGCACACCGTAAGTATGAGAATTAAAAAAAAAAAAAAAAAAAAAAAAAAAAAAAAAAAAACCCCCCCGTGACAATCAACAAGAGCAATGACGTAAAGCACTCACCTCGGCTCCCTTCCTCGGTGTTATTGACCATGATGAAAGCAAAAGTTCCGCCGACAATTGTCGTTGTTTCAATCACCTCGGAGCTTGTGCATTACCCCCCCAAAAGCGAGCACCAAAGAAAAAAAGATCACACTTTCAATGATGAGAGCAACACCGGGCTTGTCCCGAACCACCGGGCGTACAAAGACCGACTGGCCGAAAACGCTCGCCGGCGGTGGTGTACGCGACGGAGGAAGCAGCGGCGCCGTGACTCATTTACTATACCCTCTCTCTCTCTCTCCTCGCGCTTTTCGAGAGGAGATGGATAGACACGCACTCTCACCGCCGCCTCTTCTCGCGCGCGAAGCACCCCTCCCCCCCCAACTTGTCGGAGCGCCCACAGCTGTATACGGGACGCACTCTTTTTTCCGTGATAAACGAACCCAGTGTATGTATAATCGGTATAAATTCGACTGGGTGGGAAACCGGTTGAAAATGAAANATGAAAAAAAAAAAAAAAAATCTTACAAATTTGCACTTAATGCAGGACAATTTAGAGAAACTGAAGGGATGCTCGAGCAGTGGGGCAGCACCATGGAGGAACGTATCGTCCGACATAAGCATCTACGTGGACGTTTGGTGTTCATTGAACGGCAGATTCCAGCAGAGGCTGTTCGATCCGAACGTGGATTTGCTAAAGGCCGACTGGCATCCCTTGAAACCTGTCTCGTACCTCATGCCCCTCCTCGAACAGTTTAGTCCGTATCGGTGAGTCTTCAAAGATTGTATTCATAACTAATTGTCCTCAAAAGTCAAGTACAGCCCTTTTAACAATCAAGGTATCATCCGGCCCTACGTTAAACTTCTTCCACCCATCCTGAGATTGAGGTTTTGTACGATCTACGGGCTGCGCGCTCTTTAACTCTCGACAAAAACTTTTGCAAAGACTTTGAATTTTATTTTTTAGTAATGATTTTTTAATGACTTTATAAGCGTGCGGCTCCTAGCCAATGCGCATCGCATTCTTGTCTTCTTAATTTTTATCCAAGTCCGGGCCTCTTCCTACTTTGGATCATGAGATAGCAACCTTGTAAACTATATAATAATCTTTGATGGTATCTTTGAGCTTGTATGGGTTATAACCAAGTTGGGGTCACCCTGTATCAAATTTTTCATGGACAAAAGCTCTGGAAACGTATAATTATTTCAGTACCACCGATAGAAAACAACAAAAAGTATTTCGTAGCCTGACCAGATTATCCATCAACTAGTGTGTCCAATGGTGCATTTTCTCACGCGTTATCTGACTGTATATTTAGCAACGTCGACTCCATTGTTCGCGCATGCCATTCACGAAAAGGGGAAAAAAAAAAAAAAAAAAAAAAAAAAAAGGTTAAGTAAAAATAGCACGTCAGTAGGGGGTACACTCGAGCTGTATACGGATAGAAATTTTTCGGAGCAACGGGGAAAGGGTAAAGTTGTACGGACGGTTGGATGTACTTGTTATTATACGGAAAAGTGACGTACAATCGTATCGGGCGCGACGTCGGGAAGCATTGGCCCTCCTCTCTTCGAGTGTGCAGAGGAGACTCTCCGATGCTGATGCAGCAGAGGAGACAGATAAAAAGAGAGAGAGAGAGGGGGGGTGTGCTCGTCCGTCTACTGTCGGATACTGTCGGCAGAGGGTAAGTATATATGCGTTCTACCACCAACCACCACTGTTGTACCACCACTTGTATAATAATATATATATATATATATCACCAAGTATCGGGAGCACTAAACACAAACTGTGACTTTGTATTATTGAGAAAGATTTTACTCGTATACTGTACGCACTGCAGTTTATCGTGTATATAACAATTATACTTGTGCGATTTGGCTTAGAAACAGACGATTGAAAAAATTAAAAAAAAAAAAAACAAACCAAAAAAAAGAATTTTCTCGCGATGGAATTTCAAGACGCGTATACGAAAATAGAGAGAGAGCGAGAGAGTTTTATAATGTGCGTCCCGGCGGAGTGTGTAGCACGAACGAGAGACGCGTTTTGCCTGCAGCTCCCGAGCCCACCACCACTACTACTACTACTGGGTGTATACGACGGCGACGACGACCGCGACGCGGCGACGAGGAGGAGGACAGAGAGCCAACTACCGGGGTGTGCTCGGCTTGGCCACTATACAGGAGAGCGAGACGAGCTCTGCGTGTAGAAAGTCAGCCGACCGTGTTGCGCGTGTGTGTGTGGAGATAAGGGGGAGCGTCATCGGGGCGAGGGGAGGCCGAATGTTTCGCCGATCTCTCTCTTTAGCGCTTCCATATATATACACCCAAGTATGTGTGTATTGTACGTGTGCACGAAAACTCGGATCTCGGATCGTCTCGGCGCAAATTTCGTCGTCAGACGGCGCCACCTTACGATCATGTATGGTCGCACACGAATGCACCATCTTCCGTATATATATATATGCTTGAGCTATTCTATAAAAAAAAAAAAAAAAAAGATTCATTCCAATTCCTTATCGAAAATATATTTTTTTTTTTTTTATCGGCACACAGTGATATCCTTATCTCGGCGGATTTTTTTTTATTCATTGCTATTACCTCGAGGTTTTTTTTCACCCTCTTAGTAATAAAGCACTCGCGAAGAGTTACGACATTGGATTTTTTGAACCTCGCGTTTAAAGGGTTCAAATGTAAATTAAACTACAGCTGTGGTCTTTGAAGCAAGGGGATGAAATCTTTTGCTGAAACCAGGAAAAATAAACGTAAAAAGAACTGTAAAAAACCTAATAAAAATAAAGCACCCCTAATTGCATGAAGGGATGACAAAAAATTTTTGTCCCAAGGGGACGCGTTAAAAACAACGGTCCATTCTCTCCTAAGAATCCTTGGATGGTATTTTTCGCGTAACCACTCGTGTAACAATAACCAGTTACAGCGACGGGGAAAGGGCGAACGAGAAAGAGGGGAGGAGAGAGCATGCACACGCAACAAGCCGCACCTGTCCATGCGCTCGGGAGCGCGAGCACCGCACCTCTCTGCGCAGAGGCAGGTATTTATATATATGTATCCCTGATGCCATGCCATTGTAGCTTTTTTTTTTTTTTGTTTTTTTAAATTATCATCTCTACAGCGTGTAGCATTATGCATGTGTGCATGTTCACACCGTGGAAGTACACGCAGGGATTAAGTGCAAGCGCTTTTTTTTCTACGCATACCAAGTGCATATCCCACCTCGGGTATTTTATGTAGGGTAACTTTGTACTTTTATCAACCATCGAATGTAATGAAATCAAGGATGAATCTTATCGTCGAAAATTGTTTAAACTATACGTAAATATATGCAAGTAGGTACACATGCGGAGATAATAAGTTGTTTTCAAACGCTCGCGGTCGTCAACGACGAGCTTACATATATACACGGGGAGAGGGAAGAGAGCACACGCAGATTATGATATTATGTACCACAGAAGAAGAAGCGGAAGCAGGGGATCAGCTTTATTTTTGTATAGCTGATTAGGAGGGGTGTTACGGCCTGGACAAGCGATAAGTAAAAAAAGCCTTTTGCTTATTTTTCGTTTGTACATGCACGTGGGAGCTTTCATTTCCTCCTCCGGTTATACCTAATCAACAAACTCCGGGCCCTGGAGTTTTGAATGAGGAGGGAAAAAAAAACAGGACTGGGAAAAAAAAGGGGGGCAAATGAGGCTTGGAAAAAGTGAGAATATAACATAATATGTAGATAGAGAGAAGGTAAGCCCGGCTCGACGAGCGCATCGTTGCCGGTCGAGGTGGTACGGCAGTACTGCCCACCGGCAAAACATCATGCAGATTTCGGAGCGCAAAATCTTAAGTCCACTCGGAGTATATGTTCTGTATTTTTATTGTTTTTTTTTCTTTCTTCTCAAACTATTGGTATATACATGCAGTTTAAATGATCAACCTGTATTAATTGCTCTTTGGTGAGCGGAGCAAATTTCCCATTATACGAGTAATCGCACCGCAAGCTCTCGGCCTGAATATTTCATCATTTGGCTCGTTCACCCGTAATGGCAGTTATCGCATGATATTGTTAGCCACGATTGAATGATCAACAGTACCAACAATCACGCAATAGCCTATGCAAGCTCAATTATGTCAAAGCTGATCGTCTACATGAATATAAATAAAAATGAAAAGAAAATCGCGAAAGCACACGATTTTGGTGGTTCTGCCTATCTTGAAGAAATAATTCAAATTATGTAGCTCATCGTACGACGATAAATATGAGCTTTAATCGGAGGGTGGGGGGGACAACTTATGTCTGGTCTCAATATACCTTATCGTCATTGGCAGCTACAGAGCCCGGGACATAAACCATCATCACTTTTCGGGCGGATAACACGCCCTTTTTCAATTTTCGGCCTTGCGCAGCTCGTCTTGGCGCACACCCACACGCTTCGGAACTTATATATACACACGACGAGTATACACGGAGGTGGAGGCGGTGCAGAGACAGAGAAGGGGGGGGGGAGTAGACGATAAGGAGTCGTCGATCGATTTCTCGCGAGCTGTTTTGAGGAAGGTCATTGCGCTCTCCACGCCGACTCTTCCTCCTCCCCTTCGCCCTATACATGTGTCCCCCTCTACCCTTTTTTTATGTTCGCCGAGTGCGAATTCCTCTCCAGCGCACTCCCCCTCTCCGATGGTGGCCATTCTTTTGGATTTTTTGTTCCTTCATCGGATAGAGCGGCCAGTAGCGAGCTTTTCGAATACTTTAGGTGTGTGCTCAGGCTTTCGATGGTAATTCCGCGGAATTTCATCGTTAAGGGGTGTATCGAGTGAAGGAGATATTTCAGATATTTTAGGTGTACGGGGGCGCGGTGCGTGATCACGATGAATAAACATGACGGCACCGCGGCTTCTCTCGTTTAACGGCCCAAATGACATTCCCGATTAATAAGATCCATTCAATGTTAATGCGCTACGTGAGAGTGTATATATATATATATATATATATATATATATGCACGTGAGCACATGCACGAGATCGCGTTTATTATTTGCAGAGGATTGTACCGGCTGTCATAATTCAACTTCCCGTCACGACTGATCCATTGTTTGGGAGTTTTATTTCTCATAAAAACGGGATAACTATGGTTTATCCTTCTTTCGACACAATGTAGATGGGTATCTCTCGGCGCGCGCGGACGGTACAATATCCCCGTACGAGCTTGTCTGCACTTTTTTTCAAACAACTATACTTGAATCTTGCATATTTGAATCAATGTTTGTACTTTTTTTTTATAACTTACGTGAAAAATTGGTTATTATTTGCAACAGAGGCGTGGTAACAAAACTCACCTGCAACAGAATCATAAAAAAAAAACATTTGGATTAGTGCATTTTTGTGTGAGATGTATAAATGCATGTTATGAATGATGATTGTAAGTATTGATACATTTTATTTTGTGGAAAAGAAGACACCAATGAATGTATCTAAACAAAGCTTACTTTTTTCAAAGGCAAAACAAGCAAGCCGAGAGTTTGCGAGGGTGCCCGATCATCGTTGATCCTTTAGATTTAAGTCATAGATCTAGTTTTCCATGAATTAACGGGTGGACTAAGAATAAATCGAAAGGGGCGTTTGATGCAGAGGTGAGATACATTAACTCGAAGCAATAAAAAAATGAAAAAAAAGAAAAAATGGAGGGATGTACGTAAAAAGACACTATCATAGCTACGAGACATTTGAAAGTTATGTTGTCAGTAATAATGATTATCAAAGAAATTGTTGAGCTTTGTCGTGACAAGCTGCACGTGATACATAAAGTCATTTGGACTTTGGTTTAGAAATTTAATGTACCGACCAACTGTGGTATTAATTCTTTAAAGATAGTTGAGTAATGGTTTCAAATGAACTTGAAATTCTCTATAATGACATCGTTATCCATTTTATTATCTTCAAACGCTTACACTTCCGGTTCTTGACAACAAAAATTCTGTGATAAATTGGATGTTATTCTAATGAGTGTTTATTTTTTCAAGTGACGTACCCTTGAACTCTATAATGTTTTCAAACAAACATTACAACAATCAATCTTGGAACGTTGGAAAATTACTACCAATCGATAACGAATACATCATTATGATGTTAACACGTTATTAATATTATTTCCATCGCTACAAGACTTCTTTTATTTGCGGGCTGCTAAAGTACACTCATCCTTGAATCTGTCTGTGATATTTCAAGATCTATTACTTTGTTTCTCATAATTGATGTAGAAGATAATCTTCATTTATGTTCATACATAATATACAAGTTAGTATTAAAATATGCTTATTTTTTCCTGCATTAGGGATTTCTTTAAATATCTCTTTATATTTAACATTGGCTCATCGGTTTTAGTGTCTACAAATCTTCGTTCCGTTTTGTATACATGTCTTCCAGTTTATATTTAATTTCCATTATGATAATAAATCTCTATATTTATATCTGTGTATCTAATTTTGAGTCTCTACATTTTTAATTCTCGACTTGATCTACAGTTTTTAGAATTATTTTTAATGTAATTTTATTTTGTGTGTCACTGCACATATTACAACCTTTTGTCTCAGTTTCCACAACGTATCTCACGTACACCTCTGTTTTCAGATCATTTTTGTGCATAATATCTATTTTAAAATGTGTCTTTCCTTTCCTATCTCGTTTCACGAATTCCCTCGAGATCACCAACTGTTATACATTTATACGTGTGTGTAACGTACGGTAGCATAGGTGAGACTCTATACGCTCCCTCTCCTCAAACCTCAGAAACGAGGGACCTTAGGGCCAAGGGAAGGGAAAGGCGAGCGAGGAGTGAGTCTATTCGGGGTGTACACGACGAGCCTTTGAAGGGAACACATGCGCTACCTTGCCTATGATTACGGTATCTTGAATAAAGCTCTTGAAGGAATCTGTGTTGATCATTCTCGCGAAGCACCTCCTTACCAATATCTTCCCTACGTAACATGTGTTTATTTTCGCAACTGCGCATTTCAATCAGTAGGTACATCTCTGCCTTTTCTGTTTGTTCTTCGTTGTATCTCTGCCTCTGTTTCAATGTACTTTTCATAATGTATAACATTATCTACACGTTTACGTTT